CCCCCCCGGCCTCTTTTGCTGACCTCGCTTCGCAGCCCCTCGTCGTTTCCGCCTGATGGATGAGCTTGAGCGCGGCGAGAAGGCCGCCTCTTTCCAGTCCTATAGCTATGGCCTCAGTGACGCTGAGGACATCACCCTGACCAACTGGCACGCCACCATCATCGGCCCGAACGGCGTACGTCGTATCGTGCCTTCCCTGCCTCCCTGTGCCGGGTCCCCGGCTGACTGATCTCCGCCCCTCTGCCTCTGCCTCCCCCTCCGCCGCACCCAGACCACCTTCGACAACCGCATCTACTCGCTGTCGATTGTCTGCGGCCCGGAGTATCCGAACAGCGCCCCGGTGGTTTCCTTCTCCACCATGATCAATGCTTCCTTCGTTGGGCCTCGCGGCGAGGTGCGACCTTTTTCCCGCCTGGTTGGCCGGGACCGTCTTTTTTTTTTTTGCCCCCCTTGAAACCCCGCCTCTCCCTCCCCCTTCTAACACTCCTCTCCTTCTTGTTCTGGCGAGCCAGGTTGATCTGTCCAAGCTGCCTGCCCTGGGCAAGTGGGCCCCCGAGCACACCATCGAGTCTGTGCTGAAGGCCATCATCGAGTGCGTCTTCTTGCCTCTGCCCCTGGCGCGAGTGTCCCCTCCTCCTTGCCTTCCCCCTCGCTCATTTGCCCCTCCTCCCCCCCCCCCCCTGCAGTGCCCCTTTTCACCACTCACCTCTGATATCTCGCTTTTTCCCCCCACTTCCACCTTCGGCAGGGAGATGAAGAGCCGCAGCAACCGCTCGAACAAGCAGCCCGCCGAGTCGGCCGTCTATTAGAGGGCTCATCCTTTTGGCCTGCCCGCTGCGCCCCCCGTTTCCCGATTTCCGACTCCGTGGCTGGCTCCGCTCTCTCGCCCTCTCCCCGGGTCGGATCAGTCGGGGAGCATATCAATATACATCAGATCCTTTGTCAATGGGAAATGTCGCACGACACCTTAAGTCCCTCGCCAACGTCCACACCCCCTTCCAGCCATTTACCCCGCCCTATATACATGGGGAGCCCCCCCCCCCCCCCCCCGGGAGAGTGGCGGGGGAAGCAAGCGAAGAAAAAAAAAGAGAAACAAACACGCAGACAAGCCAACACCAAGGGGAATGCAAAGGCCCCACCCCCAGGCAGGGAGACTACATTGGGCACGAGGCCATCTAAGGTGACGGGAAAAGGGCAGGAGAGTGGCGCCGTGCATGGCAGCAGACGCTGGCCGGTTTCCGGGGTTTACTTCTGGCGGTTGGTGCGCTGCTTTTCGCCGCTCTCAACCACGCGAATGTCGGTCAGCAGACCCTGGAGGGGAGTGGATCGCCAAGGAAGTCAGCTATAGTGCACCAGGAAAGGAGCTGGCACTGGGGCGGAAAAAAAGAAAAAGAAAAAAGAAGAAGGCCGGGCGGCAGGGGGATGGAGATAAAGAGAGAGAGAGAGAGAGAGAGAGAGACATGATGGGGTACCTTGCGCCGGCGCACGCGCTGCATGTGAACCAGGGCCTGGTTCTCGGTGTCGGCCTTCTCGCCAAAGTGCTCGTATTCTTCCTGGGTGGTGGGCTTCCAGAAGGGGTCCGTGTCGAGCAGCTCGAAGCCACTGAACACCAACATCGGGTTGGCCACGCCACTGGTACGCGACCGGATCTCCGAGGCGAAGCCGAAACTCTCGGCCACCGGCAGGATGGCCCGGATGATGAAGGAGTCGGTGCCAGGGCGCATCTGCTCGGAGAGAATACGCCCGTGGCAGCGGCCGATGACACTGTAAACACGGCCGAGGACCTCAGCTGGGCACGGGCAAAAGGACCCGACACAATCGGGGGGGGGGGGGGGGGGAATTGTCCGAGCCAAAACGCACAGGTGGCCTGAATGACGCAAGAGTAAATGGCCAACATCAGGCGCGGCCCGCAGGAGAGGAAGGCCTCACGACAGGCCTCCCGGACGGTGGAGATCAACTGGCCACTGGTGAAGTTCGACGCCCGGACAGCCGGCGCGTCACTTCCACCGACGGCCGAGATGCCGTTGGCATCCTCTTCACCACCGGCGGCATCCGTGTTCATGATGACCTCATCCAGGATGAAGGCCACGCCATAGAGCGGTTCCTCGCAGAGGGGCCCACTGGCGCAGGTCATCTGGAAGCCGCTGATGATCGAGGGATCAAACTGGCCGTGGTAGGCCCCGGAGGGGGTGGCAGCAGCCGAGGGCGCCGGGGCGGCATTGGCGCCGGCCCAAGCACAGGTCACCTTGTGACCGGGGACCGTGGAAATCAGCAAGTTGGTTCCAGTCCGCGAGGGGCCGATGCACATGACACTGCAGAGGGGGGTCAGAGCGAGCGAGGCACCGAAGGGGAAAAGGAGGACGAGCGGACCGAGAGCAGGCCACGCCGGCCGTCGAGCCCCAAGTCAAGGTAAGAGCACGCACCGGTCGAAGTAGTCCGCCCACGGACCACCGGCAGCCTTGAAGGCACCGCGGATCTTCTCCTCAATCGGCGTGCTGAGGTCCTCGCCGTCTGTTGGTTCGGTGCCAGGGGGGCGGGGAAGAAAAAAAAAAGTTGTCAGAAGGGCAAGGGACAAATGGATGGGCGGGGATCCGCCAACAGGCAGGGGGGCAGACCAGCGACGCACCCGCCGCCCCGTCCAGGCCTTCGGCATGGCGACTGCGTGCATTCAGGGCCCGGGTAATGTCCTCCGGCAGCGGGACCGCCCGCAGGACGACGGTTACCTGGCCGTCGTTGGTGCTGTACCGGACGACATTCGACCGCCGGACCATGACCGAGCAGGTGTGGATCCGGCTGGCAGCCGGCTCATGCTCCGGGTCATCCATGTCCGTAATGTGCGCGGCCGCCTCGCCGGCAGGGTAGAAGTCATTCGGCGCCTGACGGCCGATGACCGTCTCACGGTATGGCACCAGCGGCGGGGACTGGTCGATGTTGATGCCGCGAGCAAACTGCTCGCGCAGGTCCACCATGCACCGCTCCAGATGCAATTCGCCGGTCGTGGCAAGCACATGCTCGCCGGTGTCCTGGACATACACCTCGATGGCAGGATCCGCACGGGCCAACATCCGCAGGCCCTCAATGAGCTTGGGCATGTCGGCTGCAGGGCCGACAGCGGGGACCATGTGAAACCGGCAGGTCACCACACCGGCAGTCGGAAGGAGGGGCGCGTGGGGATACAAAGAGAGGGGGGCCAGGAGAGAGAGGGAGAGAGTCAGAAAAGGCGGGGAAAGCGCGTGGGGGTACAAAGAGAGGGGGACCAGGAGAGAGAGAGAGAGAGAGTCAGAAAAGACGGGGAAAGGGGGCGCCCGGTGTCCGGCGGGACGCACGCAGGTAGGATGGCTCCAGGGCCACGCGAACAATCGGGCTCACTTGCATATGCAGGGCCGCCAGCGAGGGACAGGCACGGGAGGAACTCAAGGTAGCCGACTTGAGCACTTGCCCGGCGATGCCGATGATGCCCACCAAGTTGCCGGCCGGGGCCTCGTCCAGCTCCTCCAATTCCCGGCCCATGACCAGGAAGAGTCGGGAGATGACTACCCGCTCGGCCTGGTGGTGGCCATCAGGCGAGCTGTCGGCGGCATTGTCACCATCCGCCGCCAGGGCCACGCGCGGGTCGTACTTCGGGCCGAGGACATAAATCTCCTGCCCAGCACGAAGAGTCCCGCTGAATACGCGGCCAAAGCCCACGAGGACGTCGCCATTCGGGCCACACTGGCCGACAAGCTTCTCCTCGGCTTCTTGCAAGCGTCGAGCCTCGGCCTCCTGCTGCTGGGCCTTGATGTCATCCAGGCTGACGGTCTGCTCGTTCTCGGCCTGCGGCAGTATCGGGACGGCAGGGGGTCAGTGGTGAGCACAGCACGCGGTGGCAAAGTACAGGGAGCAGGACCGGCAGGGAGGAGGAGGAGGAGGGGGAGGGGGGGGGGGACAGAGAGCCCGCATGAATGTCACGCACCCCGGGGTTATCGGCAGCGGCAGCGGCCAGGAGCGCCGCGCGCTGGCGATTGCGCTCACGCAACTGAGCCGCCGTGAGGATGACCCGCCGGCGATCTGGCAGTGACGACCGCGGCAGCGACAGGACCTTGGCAATGTACACAACGCAAGGGGCATCGGGCGATTGGGTGCATGCCTCGATCGAGGAAATGACCTCGAGCGACTCGGCGGGCAGCTGCATGGCCACCATGTGAGTGAGCGTGTCTCGGTGGCCCAAAGGAAGCCGGAGGAGGGAGGGGGAAAGTGGATGGAAAAAAGGGGAAGAAGGAGACACGACTGCCCCGGCCAGATGACGTACGGTCTTCTTCATGCGGTTGAAGGCACTCTGCGAGCCGGAGACAATGACCGGGGTCCGGTCATTCTGCGAACTGGCCGGAGAGGGGAGGCTCTGCACGACCATGCCTGCGTGGGATCCGATGCCCAAACGACATCCAGGAGGGCATTCGTGTCAGTACTTGAAGGCGTGCCCTCTCTCTCTCTCTCTCTCTCTCAAGATCAGGAGACCGTGGGGGGGGGGGGGGAGGGGAGAAAAGCAACGCGCAAATGCGGCAGTCGGGGGAGACACCACGGACCAAGCACAGCACGCGACAGGGGCAGCCACTGGCCCATGATGCTCTGCAGCACAAAGCGCGTGTCCTTGGAGGCCAAGTCCGCCGGGTTCACTCGCAGCGAGAGGGCCTTGACGATCTTCTCCAGCTTCGGCTGATCATAGGACACGATGGAGGCATTGTACACGGCCCAAAGGTTCTCCAGGACAAAGTTGACGAACATGGGCTTCAGGCGGTTGCCGGCCTGGCTGCGACCCACCACGCGCTTCTTCTTCGAGTCGAGGTACCAGTCGCCCCAGAGGGTGCGTCGCAGGAGGTCCACATTGATACCAAGCATGCCGGAATAGATCCGTGCAAAGTCATCAATGCTACAAGGGGGAAGGGGGAGGCGCGAGTCGGCGGCGGGGG